ACACACACACACACACACACACACACACACACACACACACACACACACACACAAACTTGCTAGTTCATATGAGGCATGATGCTGACATTAATCCCACGGTAGTTCAGGAACGCGGCTACGGACGCTACCGGCCACACCCGTGTCACACGCAGTTTGTCCGTCGTCACATTTGTAGCACGCAGACTGGGACGGGACCCAACGGCCGACGAGGAGGGAGGGCCGTGGGCACGACTGCCAAGAAATTATACTGCGCAGAAAGACCCTCAACAGCAATCTGCCAGGCTCACTGCATTTCATCAGGCGGGCCACACAGATGAGACATTGTGAGTGGATGGAAAAACGGAGTGAGAGAAAAAGAGGGGCATGCGGTGACTCCCCAATGCAAAGCGGCGGCGCTGCTGACGGTTGTGTAAGCCTGACGTCGCCGGCAAGCCGCCCCAGTGACCTGCTGACCCACTGACCCAGTTTCTGGTGCTGCTCCTCTCCAGTGAGCAGGTGTGCGTTTCACCGACCAGCCACCGCAGGCCTGGTCGCCCTACAGGCAGCACCTCTACACACCACATTACACACCACACACTTGTATACCCCGACAAGCTATCATATTACACCCAACAGCACCCTACTACACCCTGAGAATACCCCCTAAGCCCTCGCTTCAATGCTCATCTATCAGCATTAATCACACCCCCTTAAATGCCTCTACGTTCCCACAACCTGCTACACCTGTACCGGCCGCACTTTCAAGGCCTGCATGCCTTCATAGGACCTCACACCACACGACGGGCGCAGTGAAAGCCTGACGTTAACATTCTGGAGAGAAGCTCTCTCAGGAATGTAGGTCAGCAGAGCACTAAGCCGTGACTCACCACGCAGACCCACCAAGGAGCTAATTACACATGAACACACACACACGCACACACACACACACACACACACACACACACACACACGCATGCACGCACATACACACACACGCACACACACACAAACCCAGCTACTCATCCACCCCAACAACTCTGAGGATGAATGTAGCCGTGTAAGTGAAAGAGAAAGAGAGAAAAAAAAAAAAAAGTCAAGGACAGTCAAGGCACAATGCGAGTTCCCGCAAATCAAGTATGCTAGACAAGATTATGCATATGATTATTGTTATGTTGAGTTATGTTTTGGAGGGCAGAGAGATGGGGGAGGGGGGGCTGTTCTGTTTGCCTCAATGAAACATTCCAACAGGTTTAAGATAAAACCAAAGTCATGGTCTTGAAGGGAAGAACAAACAACGTTATGCATCTTCATGGTGATTAGCACTTCTCTACTTAAACAAGCCTGCAAATACACTGAAAGGCATAGCACAGACCACCAGAAACACCCACAATAAATTATGTTGATTTTTAACGCTAAGCCAGGAATTACGGCTATATTCATGGTGAGAGTAAAGGGATATAAAAAAGATTAAATAACCCAAAATGTAAAAAAACTCCATAAGTAACTATAAAATATTACAATCAATCTCAATAAGATGCTTAAGATTAGCTTTTCATAAAAAAAAAATTAAAAATCTAAAACGCCTCTGCCTTGTCTTTACTAAAAACTTTTTTTAAAGGGTCAGTAAAATGGTAGTTAAAATAAGGACAATACAATAAAACGTTTCCAACAATAAAGTCCGAGCCACACTTGGGCTGGGGTTATATTCTAGAAGCCCTTAATGTTTTCCAGTTTGGGAACTGTGCCACCTCCCCCCAAACACCCAAAAAAATAAATAACATAACATAACATACAGTGGATCTAAATGAATTACACCAAAACAAGGTTCTAAAAATCAAATCAGATTCACCTAAAGACAGGGGGATTAAAGTAAGGGATCTTACAGTACTAAATTTGGGGGGGGGGGGGGGGAACGGTTAAAAATGCAGACTGCGGAGTTATTACAAAAAGTATCTTGTTCCTGGTAACTGCATCAGCTTTTATTTTTTCGTCCTGAAAGGTTCTCTGAATGCAGAGGGGGGAGATGGAGCAGACACCAAGCACACTCGGAAGGCAAACGATAAAATCCTGCGCGGCAGCATTGATCGGCAGAGGTTAAAATCCACTCTCTCTCTCTCTCTCTCTCTCTCTCTCTCTGGTAGAGGAAGTGAGTCTAAAGTAGGTCACTGGGGCGGAAGGAAGAGGCCTGGCAGCCTGAAGGCAAGGCCATGTTGCCAGCTGCTCCCTGCCTCGCCCCCTTCACTCCACACAGAGGCAACATTATTCACAACACACACACCTTCGTTTTAACCTAAGATTTAAACAGCAGAGCATATGTGTGTTTTGTCTGGGATCTTCTTCCTTCCCCCATGTATCTGCAAGGTATACAAACTATATGGATGTTTCCTCTCCTGTGGGTCGACGTGAGAATGAACTCCATGTCAGGCTACGCTTTCTGTGGAGTCAAACTGCTGAATATAGTTTTGTTTCATTGTAGTGCTGATCACTCTGCTTTTAGAGCTTAAAAAAAATAAATTAAATAAAATCCCAGCATTGCAGCGATTCAACCGAGTATTACAGAAATACCAAGGCAGGCAGAAGAACCAAAAAGTTAAGTCAGGTGATTCTGAGCTCATTATTCCCTAGTTTGTGTTCTTCTGAGCTCCGTTATCAACTTGGAAAATCAGAGCTAGCTAAAGGGGAGCTGTGTGTGTTTGCGTGCGCGCATGCGCGAGAGAGAGAGAGGCCTGTCGTTCCGAGACTGGTGCCAGGCACAGCCGCGCCAACTGGGTCAGTGGTCCAGACTGCGGTTCTGGAGTCAAACAGAAAACGGACTGACGGAAAAGCAATGCCCCAGTTCGTCTTCACTTGGCCAAAATGGGACTACTGACTGGCGCAGAAGCTCCATATGCAAATGGCGCTCATGCTCATGTGTGGGAGGTCTGCCACCTACCTAGTTTGGCTTCGACTAATCCCACAGGTTTCTGATTATAGGGTTCAGCACTAACTGGAATTACACTAGTAATTATACTAAGAGATGCATAATATATCAGTTAACATATCGGTACTGGCAAATATTCTTTAAAATTCAAGATATTAGTATCAGTCTGATGTGTCAATCTTGGGTGATGCTGCCAGCCGATATTCAAAGTCAGCAGCACTGGAGCTCAAAGACAGAACTACTGAATTAATAATGATGATTGTATTGGACAATCGGCTGTTTTCCATAATGAAGGATGAGGGATTTTCTCAGCTCATTCACCACTTAAGACGTCTCGAAAGTACTGGCCAGTGAATTGTTTTTAATTCATTATTTAATCTGGCCTGCAGATCGATCATTCATTTTTCACAGAATAGAAAAGGATGTAACATCATTCCACTAATCTACGCCAGCAAATTTGTTGTTTCACCATGGGCAGTCCGCCCATCCATCTTGGCAAGTGGCTAAGAGGTTAGTCGGTTAACGGTATCATGGATATTAGTGAAAAATATATCGGTTATTAGTGTCAGGCAAAAATTCCACTTTGGTGCATCACTAGCAGCGTTCATCACCAGCTATGCCAGACCCTTGACAGCCCGCATGAGACACACTTCTTGTTCGCCAATCATCCTTAATTTTCCTCAGACATCATTCATGTCATCCTACCCAAACCACTCCCAAAATCTACCTTAAATTACAATTCAATTTGTCATAATTACTTTGTGTTACTGCTAGGAATATGAGGAGATACTGGATATTTTTTAATTAACATCCACCACTTCTCCTGGTACAGGGTAGCTGGGGGCCTGGAGCCTATCCCAGGAATCACAGGGCATGAGGCATCCAGACACCCAGGATGGGAGGTCAGCCAGGGCTACCAACAAACAAGCCACAGCATTCATACGTCATGCCTTATAGGAACCATGAAAAGCAAATTCAGTCACAATGGTAGAATCAAAAACGAATGACTGTACATTAAACCACGACAGAGTCATGCTTTTGCCCTTGTCACCGCCCGTTTTTCTGAAGTACACCAGCATGTGGTCACTACAGGAAAACCAGCCACCGCACATTTTTTTCAGCAGTAACATTTGTTTCGTAGGCAATGAAACCAGCTTTGGGGGAAACTGCTTCGAGGAGGCCAATGCAGTCCTGTAGACTATACAAACAATTAGCTAAATGAAGACACACACAGCTGATGGAAGCATGTTTCCCCCCCATGGACCTTCTCAAATGGCACGGTAAACAGACTGACCAAGGTGGAATCCAAAATTGCAGCCAGCGAAACATTCTGCAAATAAACTAAATATCACACGAAAGAGACAGAGGTAGCTGTAGGAAGGTTATTCGCCAAGGCAAACCCTGCATATTAACTCTATTTATAAATAGCTCTGAAAGAAATGGCTCCTTTGCAAGTGGGAAATTTTACATGTAAAACAGGGTTTGAATTGCTAGCCAGGCCCAGCCTGCTCATTGTGAGGAACCACAGCAGATATTCAGCCACATTTCAAGCTTCCTGGATACCGTCCATGAAGCTCATAGGATAGATGCTTGCTGGAAAACAACTTCAAGAGAAAGAGCTTGGAGCGCTCCACTAGTATGGGGACCGGACAATCCCAGGCCTCGTGGGGTCCATAGGTTTTTATCCTCCTTCAATCAGACAAGCGAAAGCAATACATTTGTGGCTTCCACTAGACTTATGGTCAAGGAGGAAACCATAACACTGTACAGATTAGAGTTTTTAAATGATCCCATTTTGAATAATAAACTGTTTTTGTTGTGTTAAATAAATGATTAATGAAAGTTAAACCCACATAAATCTGTGCTGGAAGCAGATTTCAGTGAGAATCAGATAACAGAGAATAATTTATTAGAAGCCAAACCTTGCCAGAGTTTCCTCTATTCACACTTACATGTGTTACTCAGCCAACACAAATTTTGTGTAACAAGACTGAATAGCACTCAGGCCCTCCGCTAATATTTAATATGCTCAGATTCATTCAGCCAACAGCTAATTGGGACTAGCTAATAAAGAGCTCAGCAAGAACAGAAACTGGAATGCCCTCCAGCCCATCACGACCCAGAGCTGGGCACTCACAGCCAAGCACTACAGGACACTGGTGACGTCAAAACACTTCAATGCCGTTCTGCTTCAGTTCTGCCCTGGCAAATCATGCAATAACATGTACCTGCTGAAATTAACCTCAGCTCTGACCGATGGCAACAGAGACCATCTGGCCTGTCTGACAAGGCCGCCAACCCAAGACCAACTGGACTACATGCACAGGGAGAATACAAGGCCCGCGAGGCAGTGGGAAAGTCCAACCAAACGCCGGCACGCCATGGCAAAAACCCAAACGGGTCACAAAGACTATCCTCCTGACCACAGAAATGATCTACATCAGACAAGCAAAGCCCAGCGGGGCGCCAGGACGCCCAAGAAGCACACAGACAAACTCAGCACTTACCGCTCTCAGTAAAGTCCTGTCCAGGGAAACCGTTGTCCTTCGCAGCTCAAAGATGTTCAAGGCTACTGCACCTAGGGAAAGACAGAATGAATGAATTAGTCACTTCATTCACAGAAGCCCCTCAAGAGAGCTCTGTCATTAAGAACTCTCTACAGCAGCCGTGAGCCGCTAGTCTTTGGAGCTATGGGAGGCTGTGGAGGTTTGGCACGACACTAAGATAGCAGCACCGGGACACACAGAATATATGAAGCCTCAACAATGCATGTATCCAAATTACAGCCCCAGACACCAGGATTTACAGATCAGAGACAGGAAGAACATTCAAATTCTGGTCAAAACTCACAGCGGCTGCAGATTCCAAACCATTCTCAATTCCCAGCAATTCCAAAGGGAACAGATTCATAAGAACGTCATGCAGCACTGATACGCATAACCATCAGAACAACCAGCTCTCAGTCACAACTGCAATGACTGACACATCCATAAAAATCTAAAGTTTCCCCCATCAATAACAAGCACCATGCACTCTGCTTTGAACATACTCAGTCATAGGTAACTTACTTAGTACCAGACATCTTTAAGCCAATTTTTTAACTTTTTCTCCTACTCTATGGCATTCTAGGACAGAAATACCAGCAATCCCCACTCAAAGATGGCAGATTTCAGGCAGTATTCCCATCCAATCAACCGTGAGCAGACATATTTTTTTAACCCACCCCTGACCTTTCCACCTACACTAAGACTTATCAGCTAAATCTTAAACTAAACAACCATGCTACTTGCCAATTCTCCTACCCTGTTTTCCCCCTGAACTTTCATTACCTCTCACAGACCATCTTTTGCTACAAGCATACACCAAGGTTTCAACAAAGCAACCGATGTTTATAACATCTCCGACAGCTGGAATCAGATGGATGTTTAATATTAACAATATACCGCCAAACACCGTGCAAAGTCTATTAAAAAAAACTAACATAATTCCTGTCTCTTTTGTCAGAATTGTTTAACTACGAAACCTGTTTTTCAGGTCTCACAATAGAGTTCAATGGTGTACAACAGACCTCTGATCTGACTCACGCAATTCACAACCAAAAGGAAAATGTCAAAAGGAACATCCACCCATTACAAAAGAGCCCAGCACTACTGGCAGAAAAGCCTCCCACCCTACACAATCAATCACATTGCTGTTTGATTTGACCAATCCAATCTCAATCAACATTGAACCTACAGAAAGTCGGGGGATGCCGACACTGCAAGTACGGCTTCATCTAAATGTACTGCATTCCCAACGTCCCATTCATACATTAGCCATTTTATTTGAAAATATGCCTAAAGACCCAAAAACGACTGCACTACTGGACTTGGAACAGTACGTTCGGTTCCAAAGCCAAGCTCTTTATCGTTATACAGGCTGGTGTCCTGCTGCTAACGAATCATTTAGCAAATCTAGAAACTGTGAACGCAGCTGCTCCCTTAGGAACGATATTTCTATGGATGCAAGTGAATGTGCGAGTGCGCAAGCGTGCACACTCGGCACACAAGTCAGGTAATGATTAGATGAAAAATATGCAGTTGCTTTCAGCTCAATATGGCCAAAGGCATCAAGCAAAAACAAAAAACAAAAAAAAAAAAACAAGAGAAACAGTTTTTTTGCTTTAGGGACCAACAACACAGAAAAATGCCACCATGATAGCTGCCTGGAATCCACTTATTGCAAGTGTCCTCAGGGTATGTCACTCTAGACAGCAGGGCAGGGTCAATATTCCACCTGAAGCAAGACACGCTTCAACGCACAAAATATACAAATCAAGCCCAGAAGTAGCTGTATCATCTGCACAGCGGCGCCAATCGACGTCAGCTCAAGCGCCAAAGGTGCAAATACCCAAAGCACCTGAAAGCAATTCCTCACAGGAGGACACAAATACACACGAATAAAAGGAAGCCACTGGCTCATTCTACTGCAGATACATCAGCATCTATGACTTTCACCCATGAAAATGTTCGGTCTCAATAGATAAACGCTTGGCAGGAAAACATGCAGAAAAAAAAATGCAGGAAAACAGTCTGATAAGGAGGTAGCAAATATACAGAAACACTAGGCTCTCAGTTAAAAAAACCACATTAACTTATAGCATTACCTTCACTCATACTACTAATGAACATTTGTACAGTTCAGTTGAATTTTCGCACAATGCAAGCAGCTCAGGCTCTAGGCCTATGCACGGCAAAAACAAGGTTATGTAAAAGTTTATTTAAAAAATAACTTGAGAAAGTAAAAACTTAACACACAGAAAGTAATAAAGAAATTACATAAAAGTTATACAATTCTAAATAAGTTGGTTTATATTGCCTTTTGTTAAAAAAACGTAGAACTGCCTCTGATTTACCTTTAGCAAAAACATCTTTCAAAGTACTGACCGGAAGAAACATTTGCTTAAGAGAACTAAAAGACAAATACATTAAAATGTGTGCAAGAAAGAGAGGGATTAGACATGTGGGGGATTACCTGTAAGCAAAAACATGTGCATTAGCCTAGCAAACATTTGTACAAACCGTATGTTGAATACAATTTGGTTCCATTTAATACCTTTGATTTAATCCCTCCACTGTACAGCTGATGCATTCTGATGCAATGTTTTGATCTGTCCTTTGTTGTCATGTGTCACTGTATGTCACTGCTGATGTCCCTGATATCCTGACATGACCCTTCATTACCTACCTGACTGCATGTTGCGTTTCATCAGTGAGCAGTAACATGTGACCAGGAAAACCTCAGGTCACGAGGAAATGCCCTTTTCACCCGTTGACACTTCTGTCACTTTAACTGTAGTGTTACCACGTGTATCACGTCTGTGTTTGAGTTAGCGTAACCTTGCACCTTCCCAGTACTAAACAGTTTGCACTGTGGCCTCTTTGTTTTCCATAATCCACACACTTATTTAAACACTTTCCTCCCACCAATCTGCAAGACTTCCTGGATGCAAATCCATGGACATAGTCAATAACTTACTGTCACTTATCACATTTGTGGAAATCAAACTTCCTGGACCCATGCAACAGCTAAGAAATGAAGCCAAGTTTTACATGTGACAACATGGACACAATCACTCCATAAAATCAAGCTCTAAAAACCAAAAATTTCCATAAATGAGCTAAGGAACAACGAATGCATGCAGCCTGTGTTTGAATTGCAGAAGAGCTACTTTACAAATTTGTCAATTAAATAAAAAGTGGAGATAATACATACAAAGGACACCACATCTCTGCAAAGGTCCATTATTTTAAAGAGGAAGACACTGTTTCAGGCAAACATCAAGGCTTAGTTGCCAGCATTACTCTACAAACCTTCTGCTCCATTTGTTCCATTTGCCTGCCCCAGTACTGCCGTTTTCCAGCAGTACTAACAAAAGCAAACCCTGGAGCAGCTGACCCTTCCATACAGCTGAGCTCAGCAGGTAGGTGACTAAGCTTAGAAGGTACGAGGTAGAAGGGTGTGGGTCACACAAATGCATTTCTAAGCAGGGGACCCCAGCCCCCCAGCTGGGCCTGAAAGATCAGTAAAAGCTACATGACCCATAAGAACACAATAGTGAGGACCCCTGCAAGACACATAGATGAGGACAGCCCATAACCGCTTAATCTTGCTACTCACAAGCCAACACTCCAAGTCAAACCCCTGCACCAGGCTTCCCTCCCTGAAGAACGTACATTCAGCTACCCTTGAGTGAGGCCTAGACACCTCCGACAAACCCCCAGCCGCACCAAAAGGTCAAACATAGGTTATAAAAATCCAGGAAATACTTTCACCTTTGACTCAGTACATGCTGTCAGTGGAAGTGGGGAAATGGTAAGAGGCAGCAACGACAGATAGCAATGGGCTGAATGCCAGAATCTGCAGCAGGCACCACCAGCTCTGGGTAAATGGTGCTTGCAGGTTTCCAGGAAACGGTTGGACTACAGTGCAACCCCAAAAAAACACGAATTAAACAGCAGCTGCGCGTGTAGCAATCCGGAGCGACACTCGACCGCAGGAGTATCGCTGCTAACGGCTAGCTGCCTTTCCATGAAATCCCTCTGACCGGGTCACGGCCAGGCCAGACAGCGACATCACTGACTAGCTTGGCACACTGCAGTGCTCCTCTCCATTCTTGCCCGCCAAACGCTCTCCTGCAGGAACGCAAACACGGCCATTCTGAGCTCTCGCCAAAGTGAATACACAGCCTACAGAATCAGATGCATTAAGGCAGTTTACACAAAGTAAACTGGTTCAAGGTGATGTTTACGCCACCTGTTCCTTGTGGCCCCAATACTATTTCACAGCTGACCAATCAAATAGTATTCCAGATAAGTCTACCAACCATGCAAAAATGATCATACCTGCATTCGTGTAAGCAAAGCTGCTTTTCTCTATGTGTTCATCTAGACCTTATGTCACTCTGTTGGACAGAACCGTGATACCAGACAGCCACAGGTTTCAAATACGAATTACACATGTAATAGTGAGCCTGAACAATACAACTGAAAAAATCTGCAATGGAACGAAGTTTAGCTTAACACCTCACAATGTAAACGCTGCCTATAAACATGATTTGCCATTCAGACAAAACCAAAAACTTCAACTCCAGCCAGTCATAAGAAAGTATGTTTCCTCTCATGTCATCTCAGAAAAAATGTGTTCTCCAGTGCCACACAGGGGCGTGGTAGCTAAGGACACAGAACTTTCATCTGCTAGAAGAGTCCTACATTAGGGATATGAATCAAATGAGTATGCTTGACTTTAACAATATTGTAATCTTAGGCATCCAAGGAGAGCAATAATCATCTAGGTCTCCTAAAGCTGGATCTGCAGAACTGCAGGAAGGAGGACAAAAAGTCGGTAAGTTGGAGGGGTTTGCCAGCAAAGACATATGCATGTTACAGTGTCTAGAAACAGGGTGAATAAAATCAATTGCACTGATGAGGGGAACCTAACTGGGGAAGCCCCAATAACAATATTCTCTAGATTTAATGCAAATCCTAACCGTTCTCATTTTACAAGCACTTAACATACTTGAAGAATAATTAAAAATTCCATGATGCTTCTGACAAGCTGTGAAATATAACGTACTGCACTCACTAATTAAAAAGTTACCTTCGCAGGCAATATAATTCAGATGCAAATAGATTAAAACGACAGCATAAGACAGTATCTAAACCTGATAACTTTATTAAACCTTTTAAGAGCGTTTTCTGACCTTAGGTAACCAATATATGAAAATGCCTTTAACGTTAAAGGATTACAGGGATTAAATTGTAAACTGCCTAAAGGGTAGATTTTACATTAAAAACATTTTTTAAACCGGAACAAACCTTCCATACGAAAATGCCGATGCGCTCAGTCATGTGTCCTTAATGGACAGAATACCTACACTGCGGCCATACTTTGGGTTAAAAATAGCAAATGCAACATGGTAAATGCGGATTTAAAGCGCTAAATCCTGAGTTTTGGTTTTCCCAAGACCAGATCCATACACGATAACGTTAGAGACGAAAGAGCAGCCGCAGCGTCACTCCGCAGCCACAAGTTGCTCTTATACAATCTGTCAAGTGCCGAGACCGACCGCAGATAGTCAGACATGACCGGCCATCATTCGCATTAGTTCATCATTATAATTTATGATATTATTATTAATAATAATAATAATAATGATAACAATACATTTATAATAATTCAACCAACATTCAGGAAAAATTCCAGTTGTGTTACGCCAAGTACACAGACACAATGGCATGTTATAAGATATATGATACATGCTTCTAGCGAGCTCCGGTGACATTTTACGTCCAGCAGCCTGGAAGCCCCCCCCCCCGGAGCTAGCCGCACCGTGGGGAGCGTCGCGGTAGCCGGTCCGCCTCGTTCGTCGGGGGAGTTTCTTATTGTGGGCGGTCGGGGACTCGGGCCGCCAGGCGAGCGCCACCGCAATAACGCGAAGGCGTCGCCCGGACCGGAGACAAACCTTCGGCTTGAAAAAAAGTGTACATACCGCCGCCCCCCTTCCTCTTTCCAGGCGAGCGCAAATGTGGGTCACCGGGCCTACGTCTCCCCCCCCCCAAAGAGGAATAACATTTCTTTTATATGTCCCTACAATACCGCGTCCTTGTAAAAATAAATAATATAAAGGGGCAACGTACTGTACGCCGGCTCTTCGCATAAAAAAACGTCCGGTTCGCGGCGCCCGAAGCCCCCGCCTTACCTCCGCGGCTCCGCCGCTCTCGGGGCTTCTCCTTTGCCGTGTTTTGATGGCCGCGCTCGGGCTCCGTCGGAGTGAGAAAAACAGCGCGGCCTGCCTCCTGAGCGCTCGTGCGCAGTGGCGTCGGGCACGCGCCCGGCCCGGGGAAACACTACAGGGTGGCCGCGCTTGGTGCGCCCGGGGAGCGAGGCGGGTCCACGTCTGCTCCGTTTTACTGTATTTGACCTATACATGGGAAAAGTGTGCACTTTCAATGAATTGGCGTTTTTTAAAATATACATTGATTCACAAATTGAGTCCTGGATATAAATGGATGATTTCTGACTAATATACGTATTTTCCTTATAGTTAACTCGCATATAATTAGTTACACATAAAATAGAAAACTTTAAGGTTTTTAGAAAAAAAAAACGGCATACTAAAATATTCAGCTTATATTATGAATTGATTGGCATGGTGCTGTGGGTTTAAATTTCTACTGCATATTTTCATGTAAAAAATAGACGCAGTATCTGAGATTGATGCATGGGTTGCTCACTCACTTGGCACAGCGCCAATCAGGTCAACCGCACACGTCAACCGAGCTTGATGGAAGAGTCCGCCAGAAAAGAGGCGGGACAAATGCAGCTTTACAGGCAGTTTGTCCAACCAGTTTACGTGTTCTTGTGCGCGATCAAATTCGGCGCTGCTAATAACAATAGCGATTATATATAGCTCTATTTGGCATGCGATTTCTAGGCATGTGACTTACTGACACAGAAAGCTGTATTTTGGTATTTACAGAGGAAATGATTCGAGGATCAAGTGACATTTTATAACGATACAGAGTAGTAATAATGTTTTAATGTAGTTAACTATTTACGTAATTAATCGCAATTAAAAAGGATTTCAGTATGTCAACGAAACTTTCAATGATTCAAGTAGTAACTAGTTACAGGAATGCGTGTCAGGTGTTCACAATTAATATTAAATTTGCTATGATGAGTTAGTAAAACAAGCCGCGTACTAATTCCTGTTAGTTATGCGATACCGTGGTGCGTTAAACGCAAGTACATTAGGCGTCGTTTCTGAGAAAAAAAACGTTCCTTGCATTTGACTTTAAACGAGTATCAAATCCAAAACACGTAAAACCTCCTAGATATTTTAAGTGACGCATCCGGATAGCAAACCTACTCAACACACACCCACAGAAAAACCCCAAACCCGAAAATATTCCGAATCCAGCAATCGACAGGTTGGAGGGCTGGGAGTTTTCTTGTTGCCCGGCTGAATACACGACTTTTGAATTTAGAAATAAAGCTTTTGAGAATTTCAGGTGAAAGATATTTGATGAAGGATTTGAAATTTGATAGCTTTTTGTAAATTTATATTAAAGTTTTGAATTTTACTGTGAGGGGTTGTTACCATCATGAGATTTCAGCCTGTTACCTGTTAACACAAGCCCAATTATCTTCTGTGACACACCTTGTTCTGCATTCCTCTCAACTTGCACATTAGCTGTATTTGACTTGGATTGCTTCAAGTTTCTTTTCAACACATTATTCATTAAAACGTGAAATTACTGTTTTAGAATATATTAATTTTATCCTTGGTAAACAAAGTTGCGTTGATTGTTAAATTGGCGTATTTTGGCGGCTGAGTAGCAGATTTTTCTCCTAGTTGTAAGTACTGTAGTTGTATACCTACTGTGAACATCTATCCCGTAGGCTCCTTTGCAGGATTTTACGCTTAATAGATTGTATTGTGAAGTTACATATAGACTGATAAAACAGTTACATTCACATGACAGACCATATCTCACGGACAACCTTACAGCAGATCACCCAAGTCAATGAAATAAGCTGACCCAGATTTATAACGAGTATGTTTTAAAATTACCAAATTGTGCCCTCTATTGGTCAATGTGGGATATATTTTCTTGAATTGTTATAAATGCTGTTTTGAATACATTCAAATCCCACTTTATTAAGTACACCTAATTGTTTGCAAATAGCAAATCATGTGGTTGTAACTGAGTATATACAGCACACAGACAGGGCTGTAAAGTCCATTTAGTGTTCGACTAAACATTACAATGTCTAAGGCACACAATATAAGTGATTTTGAATATGGTTGTCACATTTGGCCAAAAACGGGTGAAGAAATACTGGGAAGTAGATCTCAGTACAGGTTTATTAAGCAATACACAAGGTAGACTAAGACAGTTAAGTTGACAAAGAAGCCACGGCCACCAGCGATGACAGCACTAACCACAACGTAGTTGCTCAACTTGTGAGCCAGGACCTAAACCCTTACATATAAAGGGGAAAACACAGGCACAACATATGAGGGCTGTCAGGATAGGATGGTTGGTAACTGATACACAATAGTGTAACATAATAGGTAGCCTGATAGTGGTATAATCACATATGTTCCTGCATATTAAAATGCATGTTGAAACTGTAAGAATCATTACACGTATAGACATATACAACAATGTTCGAGAAATCTCACACTTCTCTCATGTTATTAACTTTTACAATTCTGTGTTCCTGTTTCAACTGCAGTTTAACTTGATTTGAAATTTAACTTGATATGGGTGCAGATGAAACCTCAGCCGAAGTTGTGGAGAAGCGTGTTGGTAATGAGGTGAGTAGTCAGCATCCTTCTCAGCCACTGTCAGCCGCCCCAGAGCAGCGGTGGGTGAGTCAGCATTCAGGGTGCAGGCTCTGTGCAGGGGAGCGCCGAGGACAGCGGCCCCCCAGAGGTCACGGGCCGGAACTGCAAGGGTGGGCCCAGGAGGGTTAGTTACTGCTCCTTATCAAAGCATCTAAGTGTAACAAGGAAAAGGAGATGGGAAAAGAACAATGTGCACATTTCATGTTTCCAGGCTGCATTTGTATTTCTGTGGAGCAGAGATGACAGCCTTGTGACGGAGTTTTCCGGAAGGCCCACGTCTTGAGTGTGTGGGATCATTTGGCAGGAGCTTGGACAAGCCAGAAACGGTATGTGGGGACAGTCAGTAGTGATCGAGTGGGTGGAGGGCAAAAGTCTGAAGGCTGAAATTTGGGAGGAACCACTAATGAAAGGGCTGCATCATAAATTACTGATGTGATAAAGGGGTGGGATTTTGATAAACTGCCACTCACTGATTGGTCTGATTTAACAGGAACCAGTAAAGTATCCAATGGGAAGCAAATTGAATCAGTCAGTCATTAGTCATGTAAGACTACCCTGCAGGTGCTGAAATCAATTTCTGCCATCACTCATAAATATTCATACACTTAAATGAATGTTTAAAAAGCTGAATATTTTCTAACTGAATAGAAAGGATACACCCACAAGCAAAAACTTTTGACAAGTAGGCTAACTAACCAGCATCAGGCCTGCCTTCTTGGGGGGAATTTGTCTGAGGTTTGGGGGGGGGGGGCAGAGAGGGCCTAGGTAGGAGGGGTTGTGCGTCATGGGGGCCCAGGAATTATGCATGGTGGGCCTGATCAGTGTTGGCTGGATGAGCTCTGTACCAGTCATGCGGCTCCAGTTTGCCAAAATCCTGTGAGCCTTGTGGGTGGGGGTGAGCACTTGGAAATCGGCTTTTCCCAGCATGACTTGTTCCCGTGGTGCGTAACTAGGCCTAGAGTGAGGGTGTCGCGGAGGCAGCGTGCATGTCTAGGGTGCCCTGATTACCGCTGCATCTTCACTGCATTTCTGCGCAGCCAGAGAGGGCAGTTTATAAAAAGCCAGCAGCAAATTGGGGCAGCGCTTTAATTGAAACCTGACCTCTTTTTTTTCTTGTCGTTTTTTTCCGAGATTGCAGTCTCCTCCTCTGCGCACTTCCACTGCACTCGGGTGCAGATCCAAACACCCCTCCGACCGCGTGCCGCTCCGTCGCCCCCAGGTCGCCGCTGGGGGGGAGCGAGTCTCACCGTCGCCATGAAGCGTTCCAGAGCCATCCGCGTCTTCCGCAAGCCCAGCTTCTCCAAGAAGAAGGACAAGGAACTGAAGGTGAAGGTCAGGGAGGACAAGGAATCTCAGGAGCCGCCGGCCACCGACGTGGTCAAGCAGTGGAAGGAGAAGAAGAAGCAGAAGAAGAAGCCCGGTGCCCAGCCGGAGGTGGCATTCATGGCGATGCCCACACCGGGGCCCGTCTTCGGAGTGCTGCTGGCCGAGGCGGTCAAACGGACGGCGCTCTGCGATGGCATCCAGCTGCCGGCCATCTTCAGAGAATGTGTGGACCATATCGAGAACCACGGCATGTGTGAAGGCATCTACCGCGTCTCAGGTGAGCCCTACAGCAAAGGCACGGGTGTCAGAGAGGTATGGATACGCTAGTGGATTCAGGGGCCCCCAGAGAGGCATGGATACGCTAGTGGATTCAGGGGCCCCCAGAGACGCATGGATATGCTAGCGGATTCAGGGGCCACAGCACTTAATTAGGGCCCCTGAATATGAAGAGGAAAAAAAAAAAGATGTACACTCCAGTTTGAGCAGCCCAGAATGTCTAGCTATGCACCTGGACAAAGGTGATACTCGTTCCAGCCTGATTCATCTATATTCTTCAGGGTTATGCGGAACAGGGTAATGTAGGGGCTGGGAAGTCAAGGCAGTGAGGCAGGGGGCGCTTTGGATGGGATGCTGGTCCGTTGCATGGCAATCTCTATAATTAGAGTTGCCAGTTCAGCTAACAGTATGTTGTTTCTGGACCATGGAAGGAAATTCAAGCACAAACAGGGAGGTGCAAGAGATAGCCAAGGCAGGAATCAAACCCATGTCCCTGAGGGAACGAGGCTCCTGTACTAGACTCATGAAATGTATGTTTCATAACGAGCATCGGGATCGTCTAGGACGACTAGTCTGATTATTCTATGGCAGGGGTGGCCAATCTAATCTGCAAAGGGCCGGTGTGTGTGCAGGTTTTTGGGATAACCTTTAGGTCAGCTGTTCAAACCCAGGTGTGAGGACTCTTCAGCCAATCAGTCCTCTAATTAGTAATCTAATTAGGGAGTTGCAGCGAAAACCCGCATACACACCGGCCCTTTGCGGATAATATTGCCCACCCCTGTTCTATGGTATTGAGGACAATTTCCAAAGAAATGACACTTTGGCTTCTGATGCATGGTGTAGTAACCCCCCTCCCCCCCATCAAAATGCACTCTTAGGGGTGAAGTCAAAGATCGAGGAGCTGAAGGCTGCATACGACCGGGGAGCACCCCCCCGCCTGGGGGAGCAGGACCCCCACACGGTGGCCAGCCTTCTGAAGCAGTATCTGCGGGAGCTTCCAGAGCATCTCCTGGGACAGGACCTGGCCCCGTGCTTCGAGGAGGCGTGTGACCACAGCACCCAGGCCGAGACGGTGCACGAGTTCCGGAGGCTTCTGGCACTGGTGGCGCCCCCTAGCTGCCTGCTGCTGGCCTGGCTCTTCACCCACATGGAGCATATCATCAGCAGGGAGGCAGACACCAAAATGAACATCCAGAACATCTCCATCGTCCTCAACCCTACGGTGAAGGTCAGGCCTGGAAGGAGGGGTGGATAGCCTGTGTGAGGCACAGGGTGGCAAGAATATTTTTTTAATAATAGTAAAAAAAACAGCTCTTATTAAATTCTGATGAGAATTTGGTTATTGACTCACAGTGTCACAGAGGACTCAGTGCCATTTCAGCCTCAAAACATTGACCTGAAAATGATTTACAGCATCTGGAACCTTAGCTTGAAGTCTGGCATTTTACAGGCAGTTAGAATGACATTTCACTCTTATTTCCTCCTTGGAAGCCATTTGTTGTGGTTTAACAGAGTGTTTGGTTAATTTCCGTTTTTATGTGCATTCTCTCGCATTGTTACCGTTTATTCGTTATACGGTTGGTTCTTCAATAAACAGGCCTTCTTGGTTTTAATTCAAACTATTTGGCAATAAACTAAAAAGCACTGAAGCATATTCTAAGGCAGGGTGCCTGTTATTTTGAGAAAGACATTTCATACTAAAGGCTCCTCACATTTACCCACATTTATATTTAATTTTAGAAAATATGTAAAAAAAAAAAAAAAAAACCCAGAATGCTTAGAGGCCTAAATGTATATAATTTTGTATTCCTTAATAATTAAAACCGTTAATTCAGAAAAGGAAATTACATTGCTAACAGGTGCATTAGCAGCTAGTGACTAATAAAATTGAGGAGCTAACAAGACAATATTACAGCATTAAAATGGTGATTTTTTTTTCTGAAGAGAGAAATGTGTCTTTAAATGACAAAATGATGGCAATGAGTTGTTTCATAATTTAACCTCAAAAACAGCAGAGGTTCTACCTCCTCTACCTCTATGATTCTGCTGCCTCTGATGGGCTATTTACTATTATTTAGACACAACATTTTTTAAATGTGTTTCGGAAAATGGATGGATGGATGTATGACTTTAAGAAAAAGGCGTGAGCACTGTATGAGGTTCAGGACTGAGCAGAGCAGCGCCTCCTCCATCGATGGTCCATGTGCTCCCATCCCCACAGATCGGGAACCGCGTCCTCTACGTCTTCCTCACCCACGTGCCGGAGCTCTTCGGTTCCGTGTCCCTGAAGCCTGCCGTTCGCCCCTTGAGGTGGCCCAACGTGGCGTCCGTGCCCAGCCTACCCGACACTGCGGACAGCATCGAGGAGGAGATCCGAAGACAGGTCTACCTGGAGCAAACAAGCTCTAGAGCAGGGCTCCTCCAAATCCAGGCCATGTTTTCAGTTCTCCTGGGTAGTTAGTTTAGTAATTAATTATTACAGATTCTGATTGGGACAGAGGCTTCATACCTGGCCCACAGATAAAAAATTTTGAGGACCGTGACAGTGAGTGAGCCCTGTTGTAGAAGGTTCTACGATCCATGGGGGGGTGGGAGGCGTAAGACTGTACAAGGCAGTGTTTCTCAACCCAGTCTTCAGGGACCCCCAGACAGTCCACATTTTTGCTCCCTCCCTGCTCCCAGTCAATCAAGAACACCAAGTACCTGGTGCAAGTGAGTTAGAAGCTGGGAGGGAGCAAAAATGTGGACTGTCTCGGGGTGTAAGGTACAGTTTATGTTGTTAAACGACCCTCACGCTCCAGTAAATGTCTGTGTCTTCACGTGGAACAGGAGTTCCTGCTGAACAGCCTGCACCAAGACCTTCAGGTCGGGGAAAAGGACCCATCCAAAGAGGAGCGGCTGTGGGAGGTGCAGCGCATCCTGACGGCGCTGAAGCGTAAGCTGCGCGAGGCCGAGAAGCAGGTAAGTACTGCAGGACGGCCTATCCACTGTAGGGCTGTAAGGGTAATGGACCAATCAGCTTCATCTGACCATTACACAAGACAACAGGATACCATTTCCCTCTGTGAAAGTACTGTGAAAAGAGTCATTACTGGTAAAAAAAAAAAAAAAAAAAAGCAATGTGGCACAGTGGTTAGCGATGTTGCCTCACACCTCTGGGACATGTGTTCGAGTCTCCACCATGGCTCCGTGTGTGGAGTTTGCATGTTCTCCCTGTGTCGTCGCTGGGTTTCCTCTGGGTACTCCGGTTTCCCCCACAGTCTAAAAATGCTGAGGACACTCACACACCTACAGCCTGTAGGTGTGTGAGTGTCCCCTGCGATGGGTTGGCGTCCCATCCTGGGTTGTTCCCTGCCTTGTGCCTGTAGCTTCCAGGATAGACTCCAGATCCCTTCCACCCTGAATAGGCTAAGCAGTTACAGAACACAGATGGATATTAACTTCAGTTGCCAGTCCTGATAATATTTAATGATCTACACACCCTACTTCAAACAAGCATTAAGTACAAATCTAAATAGATGACCAAAAACAATCACTTGATTTAGTTGTTGTTTTCCTCCACATTGTTTCCTGGTGTATTTGGGAAGTTTTGCATTTGTTTCGGAGCTCTAACTGCCAGCATTGATATTCTGATTGAAGTTTTACTGCTGGCCCTGTACACAACCACGGTTTTGGCTCTTCTTGTTACCAGATGTTGTAGTGTGATGTAGAAGGATCTGAGCTAATAACCGATAACCTTCTCCATAAATCCAGGAGCGTGAGGGCGAGGATGTCAAGGAGCTCAGCTGTCAGCCCTCAGAAGACTTGTCCAAGGAGGAAACATCGGAGAACGAGGTGATCAACACCCTGTTGGCCCAGGTATGGAATTACTAACCCTGGTGGTTATTTGTGATGCTCACTGTGTTTTACAATCCGCTGCCCACGTTTTGCCACATTGCGGTAGATGGTTTACAACAGTAGCGTTTACCACCACTCAAGCCAGGCATTTGCATGAGACCCCCTGTTAAATAAATACATTCCTTATTTAGGAGATGCTGAAGCAGCGTGTTCTACAACCAGCTAGCTAGCTATGATCTTCTACCCGGATGTGGTAGCAATTTATTTAGTTTGTGAAACATCTGGGGAGGGGGACACCAATGTTGCCCCTGGGTAATACAGTAGGTATGATATCAACCTGCTCTGCTTAGCAAGATGACCACCCCTCTAATCACATGCTTCCAGCTCAGAGAATCCGCTCCCTTAGACTCATTCAAGCACAGTGATCTCTGACCTTTGTTTCACATTTCAAGTTATATTGCTACACGTGTTCTGAGGAACACAGCAAATTCCACAGTTGCAGGAGAGGAGACAGGTGCATGGGGGTGGGGGGGGGGCGGAGACAATAAGTCAGAACAACAGTGCAATGCAGGACAGAACAACAGTGTAATACAGGGCAAACAGCTGTGAACTACAGGGCAAACAGCTGTGAACTACAGGGCAAACAGCAGTGAAATACAGGGCAAACAGCTGTGAACTACAGGGCAAACAGCAGTGAAATACAGGGCAAACAGCAGTGAAATACAGGGCAAACAGCGGTGCAATAAAAGATAAGACATTGCAAAGCAAAAGGGAACACAGGAATTATAGTTTGTGTGTGTTCGTGGGTGAAAGCATCCACAGACAAAATGCATGCGTTTATCAGAGTGTTTTGCACGACTAATTAAATTGATTAATGGGGATGAGCAACTGGTCTGTGTATTAAAACAGGACATCTGCTAAGGATGCGCTGGACTGACATTAACGATAGAAACTGCAACAGATGGACATGTAGACCAAAGAATACAGCCGATTCAGTTCTGTAGCATAGTAGTTAGATCTTATAAAGAAACTAAGGCCTTGTCCACACATACATGGGTATTCTTTAAAAACTGTGTTTTTCCTCCTCAGTTATTAAAAAAAAAAAAAAAAAAACCTTCACCCACATGAAAAAGCTAAAGTGCAGTCAAGGGCATACCAAGGGCATACCAAGGGCATACCAAGGGCATACCAAAGCAACAGGTAAAGTCATGTTGGCCAATTAAAAGGCTTATTGCCAGTTCCACTAGACCAGGGGTCACCAACATGGTGTCCACGGGCACCCGGATGCCCCTAAGGACCACATGAGTTGCCCGCGGACCTGGTCTAAAAATAGCACAATTCACCAGTGAGCAGCCTCTAAAATTTAATCTTATCTTATTGCTATTCTTCTTTAATCACATTTGCATTTATATAGATGAAAAGTGGTACCTCAGTTCTCGAAATCATTAGAACTCGAATTTCTTAAAGGTCGAACCAACCAGTTCGAAAAATTTTTACTTAGAGCTCGATCGGAATCTCAGAAGTCAAACCGTAAATGCTGACCTAAGATAACTTGTACACGCAGGGAAATGAGTCACGCGGCACGTCTCTCAGCGGAAACAAAGGGTAATGCTTCAGTCTCAGCCTCGCATTACCTATGATAGCATCGTGCATGTTTACACAAGCTGAATACATATATTTAGACAGTAAAAATATATTTAGACAATGATAGACAGTAACAGTAATTATTATTATATAATAAAATACATTTAGAAATAAAGATTTCTTATTCATTATTTTAATATTAATAATAAATAGTTAATACATTTAATTATAATAATATTGTTGTGCTGAGCGGGGACGGAACGGAGACAAAGACGCAGACATCAGGGTATCGGGGAATACGGGGTTTAATTACAGGTAAGGCAGGCAAAACGCAGACGGACAATACAATGACCAGACTGCGGAAACAAACTGAAACGCGGACAAATACAGAGGGCTAATTAAAACAACCAGAAACAGCTGATCACACGGGGATTCCACACGGGGTTAACGAGGGGGCGTGGCACACGGAAGGAGCGGACGGTCGGGACAGGACACATTGTTTGGATACATTTATTTTCTTACTTTACAAATTACTGTTTTTATTAAATGTGCTTAGATGTGTTTAGTACAGTATATGCTCTTCTTGTTTTATCCAGTTCATTTTGTGTTGAAATGCTAAAATAAAAATAAAAAAACTTTTAGGTGTAATTTTTTGGGGCCGGGAACCAATTAATTTGTCTTCCATTATTTCTTATGGGGAAAATTCGATCAGAACTTGAACTTTTTAGGATTCGATCCGGAGTTCTGAACGGATTAAATTTGAGTTCTGAGGTTTTTTTAAATGAAGCATTTAAAGCATGTTTATTATACATAACGTTTAGATACGTTTAGGAGGGTGTTTCAAACTGGTAGCCCTTCGTATGGCTCAGTACCCGTGAAGTAGCTCTCAGTTTCAAAAAGGTTGGTGACCCCTGCGCTAGACCATTAAACAGCTAATGTAGACGGCGAACTGCGCGTACTCTGACATCCAACAAAGTCAGCAATGGCACACAATCTGATGTTGCAAGCCAAAAACTCCCTGTCTACACGTAGACACTGAAAACAGAGTTTCTGAAAATCTTCAGCCTGGACGTTTTAAAAAAATACCCCTGTACGTGTGTGGGCGCTTGCACCCCCTGCAGGAGAACGAGATCCTGACAGAGCAGGAGGAGCTGCTGGCACTGGAGCAGGGCCTCCGCAGGCAGATCGCCACGGAGAAGGAGGAGATCGAACGACTGCGGGCTGAGATAGCGGACCTGCAGAGGTACGCTGCATATTTACACAGGGGTAACTCCACGCGGGTTTGCTAATGGACTACATGTCTGTGCTGTTGGGGTGTGGCTCAGCAGATTAGAATGCTGTACCTGGGATCAAAAGGTTGCCAGTTCAAATCCCAGGGTCAGCAAAATGATGTCACTGCTGGGGTCTTGAGCAAAGGCCCTTAATCCCAAATTGCTGCAGGGCCAGCCTGATGCTGCTTTCTCGAAAGAAAAAAAAAAAAAACACGTCACTTTAGATAGTTCTTATTTGAGCCAGATCCTGTTCCAGAAAATGCCATATCTGCAATATATGCATTACAGTATTTAGTTCAAGCAATCCAGCATTTATCTGAATGTGAAATCGAGTGCATGCAAGCTTATGAAGACCAAGGCCACATGTACATTTCACCTTTGTTCTTACCGAAAATCTCCATCCACATTAAAACGCAAAACCAGGCTGTCGAGAGCATCCCACACCGACAGCGCAGTTGCCACATGTAAAGGAGAGATACGCGTAATGTCTAGCGGTACAAGGCGAAAGCCCCCCACGTCTCAAACCGCGCACTTCAGTCTGCAATCGAACAGAGATAGATTTAAAAAGTTATGCACTCTTCTGTGGATTAAAAATGCTGAGTGATCTACATTTTTCTTTTCCTGTGGAAGATGAATTCAACGTGTGTACATATCCTTCAATAGTCATAATATTTGGAATCATGTGAGAAATGTCTTTTTTTTTAAAAAACATTGCACACTGAGACTTAGACGCAGATTTCATTAGACCAACGTTTCGGTGTCTAAATGCCTTTGTCAGGGTCAGTAATGTCAAAGAATTCAAGTGTCCAACGACATTATTTTTATGTATATATTTCTGAAACTTTTCTGTCAGCACATCAGAAACTCAGATGTGCTTTTACATATATATATATATATATATATAGATATTTGCATTTTAACATAAAAGGTATATTTAATAGTTTGATAGTTTATATGAGTAGCTTGTGTAAAGCCAACTAAATGATTCTTCATGTGTCAGGGGTAATTATTCACCCTACTCTGCTGGCTTTTGTGCATAGATTTGCAACATTCTTTATGTTTATAGGAGGCCCTCTTTGTTTGTGTGTTCCTGGAAAGCTGAGGTCGTATGGTCACCTTTGTTCGTTGCGCCTCATATTTATTCTTTTTGATCTGGTAATTTGTAATGTACAAATTAAGCATTGACTTTATATAAGAGCAACTAATGTAACAGGGAGTAAGTTTTCTTTAGGCCTCGTTCATCTGTATCAGCTATTGATACCTCATTTAAACATGGCACAAACACGATAGAACCTGTTAATTAATGGAAGATTGTAGACCTGCATAAACACTGTTCACCTAAACTGCAGTATTTCGCCTTACGGTCCTCCCCTTACCCCCCCCCCCCCAAAGCCGACAGCCTGGGCGCTGCGAGACGGAGGAATGCTCCTCCGACAGCGACAGTGAAAGCGAGGATGAGGAGGAGCTGAGGGACATTCTGGAGGACTTGCAGAAGCAGAATGAGGAACTGGAGGTGAAGGCAGATTCGCATACATCAACTTCGGGCCTAAGGGCCAGTATCTATGCAGGTTTTTGGGATATCCTTCAGATCAGCTGTTCAAACCCAGGCATGAGGACACTTCAACCAATCAGTCCTCTAGTTAGTAATTTAATTAGGGAGCTGCAGCGAAAACCCGCACACACCCCGGCTCTTTCTGGATAAGAGTGTCGACCCCCAGCCTATCGAGTAACGTCTCATCAGACGCATGTCCCATAAGAACCTTTAGTACAATGTTTCCAGAGACCAATGGCGTAGGTTTGGCTTCTCCATTGAAAGGGACCAAACAGCCCCAAACGCCTCCCCCCCCCCCCCCCCGACCCCCTAAACACACATGGTCACTCCCACAGTATTGGTAAGGACACGTCTCTACTGTCAATCAATGCCCTCGCGAGAGACTTAACATACAGATGCAGTGGATGTTGGTGAACATGTTTTATCACGAGTGCAGCATGTGGCAAGAATCAAAACAAACCAGTCGCGCTGCCACCATAGAGGTTTAGTTAAATGTGTCTGATGTTGCATCTTTTGTTATAAAGTATATTTGACTTTTCTCCTACAATAACGGAGACATGTCCAGATTGACTTGCGTCCTTAGTTTTGGAACATAACCTAGATGCAAGTCTACAGATAACAGCATCACAAAACGATATGTTGTTTTTGGTCGTTTTTTCCCAGCTCTTATGCTACTTCAAATATGTTCCCAAATAATGTAAAACTATGGTAATAGGTCAGGAATAGCTACGGAGGCATATAACAGGAACACGTCTCGCTCTTTACGGCAGCTGAAGAACACCCACCTGACGCAGGCCATCCATGAGGAGCAGGAGGCCATCATCGAGCTACGTGTCCAGCTGCGCCTCCTGCGCAGTGAGCAGCAGCGGCAACCAGGACCCCCACCCCCGGCCCCGACCCTCCCCCACCGGCCAGAAACAGACAGACCACCGCGGAGCCCAGCAACTAAAGCCACCAGAATCTACGGGCCACGTTCCCCATCGCTATAAACAACCACTGTCGTCATGGCTACCACACTACAGGGGTGGGGCCTGCACACCAAGGATGTCCTTAACCTATTATTGTCATGTCAAGGCATAGAAACAGCTGGTAATATAGCTCCTAAGCCAGAGATGAGTCTTTGGTATCTGACGGTTCATTAAATATAATTTCACAACAATATGCATGTAAAATTTCCTCTTCACGAGGCTTCAACAAGTTACTTGAACACCAGTGGGGTCTCTGGCTGCTGCTCTATCTATTGTTCCAGTAAGGACAAAATGGTGCATACACCACCAGCAGGGGGCACTCTTCTGCACACAAACCAGGACAGATTGTTGCACATTTCACACACTGTGTGCAAACCAAGGGCAAAGGCTGATGTTCCGTTTCAGCTATAAACAAACAGGAAGCACCACCCCCTTCCTTAGAACCAGATCATTAATGACTAGGGGAAGGATTTTGGCGTCTTAGACCATTCTTCACGAGAACAAAATCCAGCATTAGACTTCTCCATATGGACAATAGAAATTCCCTGATAAATACAAGGCCCCAAGGGCCACCAAAAATATTCAAATGAGAAGAGATCCCCCCACCCCTCAAACGCGCAAATGATTTCAGTAACTTCATGGATTCCCAGAGGAAAGTCCCATTTCATCCACACAGTCTCCAAGCGCTGTTTTGCATTTTCTTTTATTTTGGACATATAGGGGACAAACTGATATAACAATACTAAACACGACTGTAGATCAAAGTGGAATTTTTTGCTAAAGATTATATGTACAGGATAAGAAAAAGCAGGAGGACAGGAAAAATGTGCAGAATTTTATTCTCAAGTTTAAAACACCCGACTTCAGCAATGTGCTTCATCGTGCCGTCGGCTGCCTTGCCTGGTCACGGCCTGAAATGGCCAGCACAACTGACAATATTTTAAAAAAGGAAAAATAAAAAACAAACAAAATTGTTCCTGTTAACAAGACCCCCTGAGAGCAGGGGTAGGGGTTCCTGGGTACAACAATGTGCTGCACTAGACGTTAAAAACACCAGAGCCCTTAGATCGCACCCGGCAGACGTGAGCTACACGCCACGTCCATCATTTACGCCCCATTTCTATTAAAACGAGCCCCACAAACTTTTGGCTGGGCCGATGCGTTTCCATAAAGCTTCATGATGCTGCCTCCGGCTGATTGGAGGGACAGTCCATTTTAAAAAGTGACACTCAGCGGAGTTTCTTTTCAAAAGAGCCCGTTCTGGACATTCAAGTATTTTTTTTTTTTTCGTTTTTTCTTTACGGAAGACGTTTTTAAGGCTTCAGTGGCAAGTCAGAGCACAAAGACAGGCCTTTGTAGAATGGAGAGGATGCTGGGGGAGGGGTAAGAGTCTCAAGAAGGTCAACTCGTGTGGCTTTTGTAAGCTTGTAGTGCCTGTGGTAGAGATGCCCCGCCTCCTTTCCAGGGCAGGGCGGGGCCAGGGGGGGGGGGGGGGCCCGATCTGTGTTTGGCCCCGGGACCTTGTGTGCACTTCTGCCACTGTTACTATGGCTCTGGATGCCTTGTTGACCGTCGGTTTTTCATGGCCTGTTGGAGCCAGGATGTGTTCCTTATGCCACCTCTTCTTCTACCCCCCC